AAAAGATTTCGGTCGCTCGACGCTCAGTGAAATTACGAGGCTACGACTATATGTATTACGACACAATAGAGCGCGTCAGCGAGAAGGATTCTTCCTCTCTCTCTCTGATTCTCTCGCTGTCTTGTTCGCTCTCAGCGCGCTGAAGGGAAAACAAAGAGGGACGATTAGTGAGACAAGGACAGCGCGATTGTCTGCGCGCTCCTGCTCCAAAGTCACACGTACACGAGCTTTGTTTGTGTGAGTGCTAACTGTTGTGCTAGGCCACCGACCGATGGCCCTATCATCGAGGGCTGCAAGCGGGCCGGAATTCCCATCACTGGTCTGACGAATCAAAATTTGAAATTTTTGGAGCGAAACATCGGCAATATGTCCGCCGTCAAGTCGGCGAAAGAATGATACATCAATGTGTGATGCCTACAGTTAAGCATGGTGGAGGATCCGTTATGGTTTGGGGATGCTTTGCTGGTCAAAAAGTTGGAGATCTTGTGAAAATCGAAGGCATTATGGATAAAAAGATATATCATAACGTACTGCAACGTCATGCGTTTCCATCTGGAAAACGACTCGTGGGGTCTGGTTTTGTTTTTCAACAAGACAATGATCCTAAGCATACTTCAAAATTGTGCCAAACTTATATTTTATCGAAAGAAAATCAAAAAGAAATTAAATACATGGATTGGCCACCCCAGTCGCCGGATCTCAATCCAATTGAACTGCTCTGGGACGAGCTAGACAGAAATGTAAGAAAAATGCAGCCAACAAATAAAAAACAGCTCTGGGAGTTTCTGCGTACTTGCTGGAATGAAATCTCGGCATCAACTCTTGAAAAACTGGTAGCACGAATGCCAAAAATATGTGCGTCAGTTTTGAAAGCAAAGGGCGGATATTTTGAAGAATCAAAAATTTAGTAAAATGACACGAAATGTTCATATGTTTAAGAATTAATGTTTTCTTCTATTTTTGTAATTACTTTGATAAAATATGAATAAACATTTTCGGCGAAGAAACTGTATTATTCCTTGATTTCATACAAATCAGAAGGTGAACTTAAACTTTTGACCGGTAGTATAGACGATTCGAGAATCAACCGAAGGTTGCACTGTCCCCCTCACATCACCCCTCCGCGTGCAGTCCAAATGCCCAATGACGACCGAATGGCATTGATCCGTGCACGATGCAGTGTGGTAAGGGGGACAGCGAAAGCTAGAAGCAAATGATTCGAAAATCAACCGAAAGTTGCACTG